AAAAATAAAAAGTCCCAGAAATGCATTTTGAGAATTTTTTACAAAATGATTGAAAATTTTTTGCCACTTGCGGTCGACATGGCAGGATGCAGGCAGGCCCAAATGCAGTACAAGGGAAACTCTTTTTGGGTGCAGGAGGTTACTAACAACGTGCAAAAACAACAACAAACTTTCTTGTTAATAGGATTTCTATAAATATTAACGTCCCGATATGACCCCTAAACACAGCACTTAACAGACTACACCCAGTGGGTGTGACCACAAACAGAAGTGGCCAACAGTCGCACAAAGACAGAGTGGGAGAGAGGTATTGTATATATAGGCAGGACACCAGGTGACACCAGTGAGCCTGATGACAGAGACACAGGTGAGTGTGATCACACTAACTCCACACAGCAGACAAGACAGGAAGGGGACGCCTTAACTTTTTTTTTTTCAAAGTTTTGTCTTTTCTGCATGTTTCTCATCAAATTAGAGCATTTTGAGAACATTTTCAGAATTCTTTTCTGTAATATTTTTGCAAAATCCTTATTAGCATGTCATTTTTGGTCATATGTTGAAAGATTATGATAAAATGTTTTGGCCATATTTGTCTCAAATAGTGGTTTGGAGGAGGGGGTTACCTCTGACCCTGCAGGACTGTGACCCCTGTTTTTGGTACACTGTGGTTTTCCTGCTACATTGGTGACCCGTATTTAAGCACGCTCAAAGCAGCAGAAGACTGTCTCCTCTTCAGACATCCATCCATATTGTTCTTACTTTTTAATGTATTGTTCTTTTTACTGTGTTGCTCTGCTAGTAAAGTGTCCTTGTCCATACAAATATAGGTGTGTGGGTTGCCTTTGTTGTAGCAACCTTTGTTGAGGAATAAGAAATGAGAAGGGACAATGGGAAAATACAGATCTGCAGATGTGACTTCCTCACAAACAACAACATCGGAGCTCCCAGGAATCAAATCCTGTCGTAATACCTCGATACCTGTCTTACAGAATGGATATATATGTATGACAGGCTTTGAAATGGAAGAGGAACACCAGAAATCCCATGTAGGATCTTCCACTGGAGACAGCAGATTGTCAGGTGGTGGAACACGCAAGGCTGCCAATCAAATTGTCAAAAGAAGAAGGAAGTGAATAAAAAAAAAGAACGTTACCAAGGAGTTTATGATTATATATTAAAAACGCACCACTTTCAGGTAAAAAGAAATTGCTACTTTGACTTTAATCAGAAACCCCTGTTGGATTATAATCCAAACCATGTGAGTACAATGTTGTTATTCTGACTAACAAAAGCCCAACACAGAAAACAAGATCCTTAAAAAAAGAAAACAAAGAACAAATGACTGTAATCTGAGATTTTTTTGGTTCCCTAAATCCATGAATTCAAGATTTGATGAAAATCTAAATTTTTGAACCTGGACATAATTTCTTGACTGGATTAGATTTGTCCTAAGAAAACACCATTAATTCATGTACACACAGAGGTCATCAATCAATCAAACATCAACATATTCCACATACAAATAAAACAGCAAAACATCCTTTAAAAAAATCTCATGAAGTGATGGTTCACAGTAACATTTTCTCAAGAGATCAAGTTCAACCAACTAAAGATTTGCATTCTTTTGCTTTTAGTTTTTCCATTTTTCCATTTAAAAATGTATTAGTGTGCTTCCTTTAAACTAGGGATGTTCGACAATATTGGCTAACTGATATTATTAGCCGATTCATAATTAAAACCTGATAACACGATGCCTTGGTTTGGCCCAGATGATGTGAATATAAATAGTTTTAAAGTGAAAGTATATTAGAATTGATATTAGAATCCTTATTAAATTGAACTTCATTGAATCACAGAGGCACAGAGACGTTCATGCTTCAGGGCGATCACTCCGTCCACACTGTTCTCAGAGTACAGAAGAGGCGACTGGACTGACATGGTCTGAAACGTCTTCTAGAAACCAAGTCCAGTTGCCTCTTTTAAACTTCTTTGATAACGTAATTTTTCCACTTTAACAGACCAACAGAACTCAAAGTTCTCTAAATCAGGCCAAGTTCCATCACCATTAGAAGAACTGCTTTGCACATGTGATTGTGAACCTAATCCCATGTTTTTACTTGAAACAGGTGTTTACCTTTGCTGGGAACTCGAACCTGTCACTGGAATTTTTTTTATTTTTTTTTGGAAAATATATCAGACGGTTTTGTGAGAAATCCTAGATTATCAGGAAGCATTCAATATCCATCCAACCATCCATTTTCATCTGCTTATCCGTTACCGGGTCACGGGGGCAGCAGTATCCTGTGGGTGGTGAGTCCACTGGAAGGTACCAACTGCCCTAACCTGGATTCACTCTAACCCAGGAGGTGAACCCTGGGGTTCCACACCAATGACAGAGACACTGGCTCTGGGCCAAAGCACCACTAGCCTTCATATAATGACACAATAATAACAACACTAAAACATATAAATACCCACCTCTACATACCTGTCATCCACTGTCAAACATCTTCTCCATAAATAAAAATCTCTCTCATCTCATTTACAATCCCAGCAGTCCCTCGTCGTGTCCCCCTCGTACACTAGTTTCATATATTTTAGCAATAAAGTGCCGCACAAAAATGGAAACTCTCTGGTCCATTAGCTAGGATGATCCTGTAGGACTGGACATCTGTTGACACTGACTGGTGTAGGGCAGATCTTCAGTTGACAGAGGGAAAGGTGTGGGATCTACCATTGCACTGCTTCTTACTGCTGTGGTTCTCAGTCTCAGTCTCCAGGCTGTGCTTCCCAACACAACCATCTGAAAAAAGACAATAAAAAAAACATTACTTTATTCAGATTGCTCTTATGTATATGAATTTGATTTCAGCCTTGGTTACTGGAGGACACCTACTGGTAGCATGAGGAGAAGACGCTGAGCAGAGTGAAGGGCTCCTCTGCCACTGTGGAGACAGAAACAGGCCACAGTGTAAAGGTCTTAGTCTAGACTGTCCTGTAACACAGTCACTGGTTATCCTAACAAAAACACCTTACAGAAATACATTTTCAAAAATAAAAGGCTTCAGTTAAAAGATTAACAAGATCACTTTTTGTTTTGTTTGTTTGAAAACCATATCTTAAGGGAAATGTCCCTCCTGGCTTCAAACTGCAAATATGCACACCTAATTATTTGTGCAAAAAGTTCCTTCTACTTTTCCCCCTATTCTTAAATTTAATGAAACTTTAAAAAAGTTATAACAATACAATTAAACATTTATTAATTAAACTTTTTGATTAATTATAAATAGAATACAAACAGGTGTGGACGTTATGGAACATTAGCCTAAATCATTTGCTGTAGCTCAAAGTTTTTGCATTCCAGTGTTTTTCAATGTTTTTTCTTTTGGAAACATCCAATGAAAACCGATCCTTGTATAACATTTTCTTATAAAAGACAGGTTGCAGTATAAATGCTTGAAATAGAATCCTCCATAGTTCTTACAGTGAAGTTCTTGATTCCCTTCAGACTACTGAACCTCAGGTAGGAAATGTCTCCCTTGTCTTTGTCCTTGTCCTGGTCAGTGGTGTAAATGTGTGTGATGCCCGCTCCTCTGATCAGGGGAATACACTCGTCACATGGACACTTGGTAACAAACAACAGTGTGGGCTCCCCAACTCTAATATCTCGGGCCCTGCAAGCGACAAAAACCACAGTGAAATCTGTTTTTTTATTTGTCCATTGGTTTTCTGTCAATGGTCATACCTGAAGGTCAGGGCGTTTTGTTCTGCGTGGATTATGTATCTATATTTGCGTTTCTGTCGGTCTTCCTGCTTGTCATCCATCTGTGGGTACTCAGCATACTGTGATCCTGCTGGGTAAGCATTGTACCCACAACCTATGAGGCAAAGACCTCCCACTCCATCACTGCCAGCCTGGGACAGGAGAGAATGGAACTGTTGGTGAAATGAGTCCATAAAATATCAGCACAGTTAGAACAATAAGCCAAGGCTGAGACTGTCACTTGAAAAGTATCCAGTGTGTCCAGTGTCAGTAGCACTGGTGGCTACCTAAACCACCGCCTCAAAACAGAGACCTAAAACCTACAAGAGACCAAAGGTTTCATATTGATTTACAAGGGTACGTCCAAAGGTTCTAGAGTTCTCAAGGTTGTCTTTGGTAGCTGACCACACCCTGCCACGTCTACCAACAGAAATAGGATACAACCTAAAAGTTCTGTCATTCAATGGTAAATATTTACATCCAGAAGAGAGGGTGCGACCTTGGTGACCACAGAATCAATATTATACTGTGACACAGAAGAATGAGCAGGAGAACAATGTTTAAATAATAAGAGTGTTAAATAGAATGACATTCATAACATTCATCCTTTAAAAAGAGATCCTTTATCACCAACCAACAAATTCTAGTTCACCTTGAAGACAGACCTGCTCTGCTGCGTACAGTGTAGTGTAGACTGCCCTGATCTGTACATCACAGACACCAAGTATAAGGAAGATGGAAGCCCAAGACCCAACCGCCCAGAAGAGTTTAAGGCCAATATCAGAGCACGGCACGCCTCGCCCCATTAATGTAATGGACCTTCTCTGTGAGGCACCAATGCACTCTATATCTATATCTATATCTATGATGTAGAGGAAACCTTTGATTGACACACATGTAGTTTGATACCCAGCCCTCACAGCCAATGAACATAAAGGATATCAGATAAAGGGCCCATGCTGCAGGGATGTTTTTAAAAAACATCACACAGCCATCTGTTTGACCTAAAACTCACTTCTCCTTTGCAAAATACTGTAAATACAACATGATAAAAAGTGGAGCTCACCGTTCGTCCTCTCGTCCAGATCACAGCACCCACACCCACTTTGGGATCCTCTAGAATGAAAATAACAATTTAGGACATGAAGAACATTTAGTTTTAAATGGCCGTTGCCAATTTTAAAAATGTCCCTCCAGTTGTTTAAAGCCAAAACATTTAAAAAATGTTCCATAACTGCTGGTATTTGTTAAAACGGCCCCACAGTTCAGGCTAAAACGACCTAACTGGATTGTTAGACAGGTTTTCCACCTAATAATCTGGGGTTATGCAACATGTTTCCCATCAATTCAAATCCATTTCTAGTTGACATTTGAAGTTACAAAAGTCAGTGGTCATACCATGACACTACACACTACTACAGTAAGGTATATGGTACATGGTATAGTCATGGTATTTTGCATATTTTTTTTATTTATTTATTTATTACAAATAAAGGATCATTGTATTTGGTCATAATCTGTCTGGAGTTTATTTTGTTAAAAAAACAAAACATGTACATGTATCATTAAATCCCTACTTCTTAATCTAATTTCTTGATGATAGGCACAATTGCTCAAAGCTTTTTGTTAAAGTAAAACTGACCTGTTCTATAGGAAAGAAGTCGGGCTTGAACAATGCAGTGGTGAGCCACTTTTTGTGATACTCCATCGCAGGGAGGAAGCAGCAAGGCATTGGCCAGTGATGGCTCCTTTGCTAAACACTGACCCCTGCAATAAACAAACATAAATTATAACTGCCTTTGATCTGTGTAAGAAAAAAATGATTTGGTGTTTTCTAAATATAGGAAGTACATAATAAAATGCAATAATAATTAGTAGCCAGTAGCATCAGAATAACATTTCTAACTTCCATCAGATCATATTTGATCTGGACAGGGTTCACTGTTGAGTTTGAATTGTATCCTACTTTTATCCTACTTTTCTGAAGTGCAGTTTTCTCACCTATAGAATCCATGATGATGCTGTGGAACCCCTGCAGCCACAGACGCCAGAAGCTCTACAAGCTCCCTCATGTTGTGTCTTAGGTTATAAAAGTATGGCTCAAGACAAAAGTTTTTCAGACCCATGTGTGTCAAAATCTCCCTGTGCTGCTGTGCTGAACCAACCAGGAACTTTTCACAGAAATCCCCTAAGTGTCTCCTTCGTTCTCTGAAAAACAAAAGCAGCTTGGTGGGCAAATAATCAAAGTTTTTCAACAAAGGCACTAAACAAATAAATAAATATTTCTGTCCAAAATAAAGACAACGCAGCAAAAAAACTGTAGTAAACAATATCAGGTCAGTAACTGATCACCCCAAAATACAAGTTTTCCAAGTTACTCTTTCTCCCTTATATATATATATATATATATCTACTAAATCCAGTCCTCACTCCCAGTCCTAATCCTACACTTGGTGTCAGTCTCGCTCACTGTCCCTCGCTGGGTTATTTTACCCTTTTTTATAAGAATAATAAAAAATGTGTTCTTAATTACTAATATTTTATATTATCAATGTATTTGTTTATATCTATGTTTATATCTATATCTATTAATAAATTAATAGTACATTTCAGGAACATATTTATAGGTTTAAAGTTATTTCTAATCGACATACGAGTGCTGTTGTGGAACGGATTAAACTCGTATCTTGAAGCCCCACTGTATTTAGTTTGTGTACAACTCAGCAGATTTTGTTATTACTTATGCTTGATATCCAGTATGTCACAGCTGTGGCTGAACTAAGCTAAGAGGGTTTATTGCTTTATCAGTGGTGTTAATATAGTCAACCAGGATGTTATGAATGGTTATACTACAGTACATTTCTGTATAAAACTGAAGGGTTAGGTGTGAAATACACAACATACTCTTAAAACACTTAGTAATGACTGTTGCATCAACAAAATGTAACGTCATACTTGTTGAAGAGTTCCACTGTATCGAGGCACGGCTGATCTTCAGACACTCTCTCCATGAAGTCACACTCTCTGGACGTCTCCTGTACGAACTGTGCCAGGCCGGGTGTCAGTGGCTGAAGCAACACACAGATGTGAGAGCAGCTGTTGGACTTTAGCATCTCTGTTGCCACTGCATCCAGGGCAGCCTCCTCTGTGATGACGACAGGTTGGGAGTGAAATTGTGATCGTTTTGAGGAATTGGACTTGAGCATGCTGATCTCGGGGTCTCCAGGCCAAAAGAAGATCCGACTGACTCCAGCTGGAGAGAAACAAACTATTTCATCAGTATATCATTTAGGTTGTTGTTTACCTGTCAACTGTTAGGGCAGAGTATTCTGAGTAAGGCTTCAGCACAGCTCAGCTCTCTGCTGTTGTTGTTGTTGTCAACACACACCTTTTTTTTATAGAAAGAGGGGGCAATCACAATTCATACAATTATTTTTTTCTAAGCGACCTCTCACCATTTATTATCATCTTGAGGCAGGTGGCACAGGGTCTCCTCGAAAAGTACAGCTGACAGTTCTCCAAGTGGTTACCATGTTGAATAATGGCTGCCTGTCCTGCATGGAGCTCAGCCTCGGAGCAGTGGAGTCCAACCACCTTATTGTCCCGCACTACCACCAGACCCACCCCCTGGATCTAAAACACAACAGATTCAAGTACATGCAACAAAGAACTGTAAGTCATAACTTGGGCCTTAGATCTATTGTACACCAACCTGGCTGTTGTTGTTGTCTTCATGTTGCTCCTGAGGAAACACTTCCATCCACAAACTCAGCAAAGTGAATAGATTAACCTGTGACAATCTGGGGGCATGACCTGAAAATGAGGTATAGTTAAAAACATATACATATTATATATATATGTCTGTGTGTGTGAATGGAGAGTTGTCTTGCCACTGCTTTGTTTAGTCACCGTAGTGTCTTCGCTCTCTGCCCTCAGCTTTCCCACTAAAGTATGTAAGTGTCAGGTTTGTGCCCCAGGCTGCTGCCTATAGCTGCAGCTGCAACAGCAATTTCTCACGTTTTGTTTAAAATGTCCTGGAACCTGTAATGCAGCTTAACCAGTTCAAAATGACTGAATACATGCTGAATAGAATCATTTACCAGTGGCAAGTTCAGATTCGGAGCTAAAGTATGTCCTCCTCTAATACACCAGTAGTAAAGCAAGTATAAAATAAAATTCAGTAACTGTTCTAAAAAGTACCGTTTGTGAAACGTAAAGTAATCTTTCTTCACTGCTCTGTCTTTCTTGGGTGAAGTGCTTCCTTCTGTTACATTGTCCTATATTATTATTGTAAATAATTACTGTATATGGTTTATTCATTCTATTCCGTTGTTTGGCTTCTTGCAAAACATTTGTAGTTTTCTGTTCAGTGTATTGATAACGTGCAGCACTATGTGCAATTTTGTTGCATTGCATGAGACGTAATTGTATGATGTGGATCAAACTGCCGATAAAATACAACCCAAATATCAAATTACTGTTTAATAAAGGGTCTTCCAGTGACTAACGTTGTTGTTGTTTTTAAAAGACTGATGACAAAGGACAAGGTTCTCCACCTTAGCAGCTTTTAATACTACAAAAAAGTCATTGCTTATCCGTACGTACATAGTGCACACATATTGTATATGCACAACATTACATTCTTTTAACGTTTTTAGTTTTTAGTTCCTTGAAACCCGTTGAAGTTGTGAAATTATTCTTTACGTATGTCACCTATGGCTCACCTTGTATTCTGCAATCAGTTTGACAGCAACTGGATTTCTTTTTTCGATCTGGCCCACATTCGTCTCTGTCGACATGGTTCCTTTGCTCGCCTTTTTCCATCCAGACAGTCAAGTTTATTAAGTATAGTTATTTCTATGTCGACCTTCAGTAACAAAACAACAAAAACAGCGTAAATGTCAGCCCTCAAGAAGACGCCATCTGTCACTGCGATAAACGTTAATCCGGTTTCCACAGTGTAAATACCAACCGACAAAAAAAACCTCACTTCCGCTTTGAACATTCAAAGTAAAACTACAGAAATTGGTTGCGTAAACACAAAAACAAAAGTAGTAAAATAAATACGCTGTGTATCTATCGGTATTATCTGTCTGGTGTCTTGTGAATCACCTGAAAAACTGGCCAATTGGCGTCGCCGTGCGACAGAAATGTGAATAAAGGGTTCGCAGCCTCACTCAGCCAAGGCCTCACAGTTAAACGGCGTTTTAAATTTAGTTCCTGTTGTTGTTAATAGATGCTTTTAAGATGACGTCTTTTCCGGTTTTACGTGCGATAACGCAAAGTACGCTTGGCAATATTTTCTTTGGACTGCATCCACATTATGTGTGTGTGTATATATATGGAATTATTTAATTGAATTTATGAAAACGTGTAGCACCTGTTTAGCATCAGAGGCTCAGAAGTCTAACACAAACGGCTATTTAATATTAATATTAAATATCTGTGATTTGAATGCACCGTAATTTCAAAGCACAAAGTTCAGTCTTAACATTCTGCTGCAGTTTAATTTAAAAAATGTTTAAATGGAGCCAAAGAAGTAAAAACACATACAAAGCATAATATTAAGTAATACTGCAAATAATCAGTAATGGCAACACCGTCCTCTGGAAAATAGCAATTAGCAATTAAAAATAGAAATAGAAATATTCTCATACTCAATTGTTAGATTATACAGTGTAACCTATGACTATATATTTTCCCACAAATATAGTCAGGACCCACAAATGTGTACAATTCTTTAGTTTAACAACTGATGAATACATTAATGTTTCTTATAACACCGACCGGCTTAGGTTTTTCAGACATTATAAACTGACAGTGAATCTTGCATTTGTCATGGTTTATTCTGCAAACTTTGTAGTGGTGTTACTTTAAAAAAAAGGGTTTCTATGATACCACAATGTCCTCGAATGTCAGAAAGGTGCCTATAAAATAAAATGTATTATTATTATTATTATTATTATTATTATTAAAGTAAAGAACCAAGCATCATATCGTCATCACTTTGCAGCTAAAATATTTCCCCAACAGTGAGAGATGGATTCCTATTGATATGATGCTTCCAATATGCTACTATGACAGCTGTTTTATCAAAATGAAGTACATTATTTTGAAAAGAAAAGCGATGGAACTGATAGTTGTGTTTTTTAACGGCAACACACAAGATGAAACACATGGTTTCTTTTCTTTTTGGTTTGACCAAAATTTCATTTTTGTTCATTATTTTACAATAACGCAATACTATTAAGAATATTTTTTACCAATTTTTACTCGAATCTAGTAACATATTTTATTGATGGAAAATGAATATTTTTAATTCTCTTGTTCCTCAAACTGTAAATCACTTTGGATAAAAGCATCTGCTACATGTAATGTAGTGTAATGTAATGTAATGTATGGTTGTGGGTTTTTTTTTTATTCTAAGGTTGTAAAATATCTTGACAGGCTTTTAGCCCAATTAGGCAAAACAGCTGATCATCATTATAGCTACTATTGAAGTTAACCTCATCTTTATCCATGCTTGTATTCCTCTTTGGAGATTCTCCTTTGGATATAGTATGTAAAGATGTCTGTTCTTCAATAAAATATTTTCAGTAAGACTTTCTTTTTAATTGAGGTAGGTTGTTGTTGTAGAGACTAGCCTCTGTCCTTTCAGACCTATGTGGTGTTTCTTTGTTAGTGAAAGACCAGCAGGTATGATCATTTCTCTAAGGATTATTTTAAAACTGGATGCAGATGTAATTTTCACAATATGTCCTCAGGAAGAGTCTTTCCTCTGGACTCAAGTCGGATTTTTACAGGGGAGAAGCTTGACTCCTGTGACAATGATTGTGCTCAGTAGTGCCTCCTCTGGTTCACCCTGGACATAGTAAGTGGCAACGACACAGATGAAAGAGAGGAGACCTCCCAGTAGAGAGAACGAGACAGAAAGAGCTGGTAGAGTATCACCATGGAGATGGACTGACACAGGACAACACCGATGGTCACCAACTACAAAGATGCAAAAAGGTTGTAATTCAATTCAATCAATATTTGTCCTTCTATTAAGACAATTACAGTTCCTAAAATGACCAACTTAAACATTTTTCTTATTACGATATGCTAGTGGAAACATTGTTTTCTATTCATACCTTTTCTCTTTGGTGCTCACTGAAGACAACTGACAAGAGGAGAAGAACAGGGTGACACAGAAACCACAGGAAACATCCCTGTCATAAAAAAAACAACCTTAAAGACCTGCAGTTCAGAGTGTTGTCCATTCTGAGGCTAAGGAAAAACTGTAGTATGGTGTACCTTCGCAAAGCTGAGGTAGAAGTCTCTCTTCAAAGTGCTTCTTTCTGTGGAGAGGATCTGGTAAAGAATGGAGGCAAGCAGCAGAGCCAGACCCACTCTCAAGAAAATGAGTAATACACCTGCTAAATTCTGCTGGGCGTGGTAGCTGTGATGTTCATTTTCCAACTCAGAATACTGCTCCCACAACAGCAAAATCCCCTGTGAAATGAATATGTTTAGAGATCAAGTTGAAAATAAAATTAGACAGAAGTGATATTTTTAAATTTGAAGTGATAACCTATGTACCTGTATGAAGACACCACCTACAGCAACAGCTGTGGAGGCTGGAGTATGCTCCCATTGTAGTGGGCGGAACTGAGGCTTCCTGCCTCGGCTCAGAGTCCAGCCTACACACAGACTCAGTAACATATACAGCATGGACACCTGGGACACCATGTCCCAGACTGTACAAGGAAATAAAACAATGACAACAGAGAATGTTTTATATGAAAAATGACGGAACTGTTGCAAGTGAATACAACCAAAGGAAGCCTGAGGAACATACACTCTGCCAAATTGCCCATCAGTGGAATCCCAACCCCATCTCCAGAATACCTGCAAAAGACCAGCAAATAGAAAAAAAGTCAACATTATTCCAAGCAAGGAATCCTGGAGATGATAAACAGACACTGCAAAGAACTCCAGGAAGCCTGAGTCAACCTTGGGTTAGTGGGCGTCAGTGAGGTGGAGGTTAATGGTGGAGAAGTATTCCAGGAAGGTAGTCTTCAGGTAGTCTCACCAGGTTCTTTTAGAAGCTTCGTGGAATGTAGCTGGGTGGTGCACTGTTAAACAGTCACTGATGTATGTGTCTGAGGCAAGAGCCTTTCTTTAGCCTACCTTTCTTTTCACTTGGGTGCATACTGCCACCTACTGTACTAGAGTGTGTAGTCTCATGGTATGACCAGTGACTTTTTGAAATAACACAGCCTACTCCTTACACCTTGATGCACCATTAATTTTCTATTTCAAACGATGCAAATTATCACATATTTGTGTTGATTTCTAATCAATTCACGATGCAGTTACATCCCTAGTAATAGACAATCAAAAAACTGATCACTGTGTATGAAAGTGAATGTTTAATAAAATGTATTTTTGTTAAACAATATAAGAAATAGTTCTGTACAAACCTGGACAGGTGGATGTAGTTACAGAGAGCGGAGACTCCCTGTAATGCCAGTGCTGCAGTCAGCACTTTGAAGACAGTATGCATGGGACCTCCTTTTTTTAATGCATGGTGCAGTGGCTGAATGTAAATACAGCATGCTATGAAGTAGGCCAGCAACAGAAGGAAGTAAAAACTGTAGAGACCTGAGGAAAATTGAAATTTGATGTAATACAGTTCCAACAATAATGGACCCATGTTAATGACTTCATATAGAACACAGAAAGGTGTTTTTGCCAAACTGACCTGCCTTCTCTGCACTGAAGTGTTCCAAAGGATTGCCAGCTGAGTCAGTGTTTAGCAGCAGCACTGTAAAACTGAGATCAGCGAAAGAAGGGATGACCGCACTTTTCTGGAGAGATGAAGAACAAGCAGGGTGAGACCTGATAACAGGATCATTAGAATTTCCCCACAGACAGAACTCCTACAGTGTAGAGAAATAGTCTAAATCTTCGGTTGTTAGAGATTTGCTCCATTTTGGACAACTACTTAGATGTTCATATCTTAACATTTACCACAGGTTTTACACTTTATAATGATTTAATTTAATAGTTTATGTAAATACATTTTTTTGTTTTTACTTTGGCACATGACTCTGCTCTGGAGCCTAGAGTTGTTAAGGAGCTTGATGAAGAATTTACAGTTGTCTGGTGCTAATACCTGAGTGCCACCCGAGCCTACATGCTTGTTTACAGTATTAACAACAGTAAATCAAAATGTTTTAAGACAGATGTTTAACAGTTGTGTCTCTATCAAGTTTTGTCTGACTGTTACCTGACATGTAAATCTGTCAATGTAAATTGCCTGCCAAACCGTTGGGGACGTCTGCTTAGGGATTGTCTGATTGTGCTCTTCTTTATTAAGGGAGACTTAAACACAAAAAACAGAACCAGTAAGACAAGAGATATTCAGAATCAGAGTTTATCACTTAGTAAAATAAAACACCGGTCCTTACCTGTAAAACTGGCCCTGGCGAGCCTTTCAGTGCAGCTGAGGTTGTCCAGATTTGAGTCCATGTCCTGGTACAGCAGTAGTCTGGCCTCTTTCTCAGCGGCCAGGGCATAGTTGTCCACTCGACACACAAACAAACCTCCTTAAGGGAGATAGAGGAGAAGCCAAATGTACATTGAAAACTACTGTGGTTCACTGAGGGATGATAAAAGATTCCTTATTGCAAATGTTTTCTAAATGTCAGACCGATACAGCAGCAAAACAGCTTGAAAAACACGACCAGCCATGTTTGTTTTATTAACATTATTCATGTTAATAAAACTGTATTATTAATGGTACAGTATGGTCTAATACAAACTGTTTTAGTATGTTTTTGTTTTGGTGTCAAACATATGGCCCGCAGCCCAAAACCCAGCCACTGGGGGGTTCAATCTGGCCCACATGATAAATTTGGAAAGCAAAAAGCACAAATATTTTACGTTGGTAGTGTCTTGTAAAATGATATTTCATTTTTTTAATACACTTGTACTTCTTTGCATGAAAAAGGAAAAAAAACATAGGATAATTATAATCTATAGGTAATTATGTTATGAATATACTGGTCCAGCCCACTTGACATCTAATTAGGCTGAATTGGAATTTTGAATTTAACCGCGAGGTACCCAGGGATTTCTAGTAATTATGATCGTACATTACAATTGCCAAAAAAAAACAAAAAACAAGTAGAGTGGGCTAGTACGCAATTTGCTTTCGTGTATACTCAACCTTACAAATCAAATATAAAAATCATAATAAAATAAAAATCATAATCTCAATGTCAAGTGATTACATAACTGCATAACTCTGCAATTTGCATTTTGATTAACATAAATGCAGACATCCCCCATCGTCCTGCACCCTTGTACCAGTCCTGTCAAATATTTTATGTACTTTTGCAGTAAAAACTGCTCTAGTACATACAAAATATATACAAACACTTCCTGCAAGTCTCGCAAAACAGTGAATTCAAATATATCTAAATGTATGTAATTTATCTTTCTAACACAATAAATCTTTTATGCAGGATTGTACACATTAGAACAGTTCAACTACATCACATTTTCTGTTTAATATATAAATACCCTATGCAAATCATTGTTTATGCCAAATCAAAGTTGTATGTACTGTGGAGGTTTGGGTAATTTTTATTTGTAAATGAATTATGTAATAATTATGCTCCAAATAATAATAAAAACGACAATAACATGAAATGAATGAACATGCGGAGTGAAGGAAAACTAAGACTGAAACGAGCAGTTAAACATTCAATTATTTTATATTAGCATCAGTAGTTACCTTGGTACATAAATTTGGTGATGAATTGACCTTTCTGCTGCCTTGCCATTTCGCTTTTGAAAATCCCTGTCACTGTTTTTCCTGAAGCACCAAAAGCCAGCAGCACGGCGGCCAAGACTGCGAACCACAAATTAGACATTATAAACACATACGCTTTCAACGATATATTCAAATTTACATTATTTCCGATTAACTCAATGAGCCACGAAGCCAGAAGTGAGCAACATCAAGTTGGACAACAGTAGCCCCAGTCAAGACCGGAAGCTTGGTCTTTGTCCTCTACAATATACGCTTGCGTGATGCGAGGAAAGTAAGAGTTACAGAATTAGACAGATTAAACCAAACACAAGGGCAGATCAGAAAAGGACAGTTAAGGTTAACAGGTCAACATCTAGCCAGGGCTGTAACGTGTGACCGTTCTCCTTTAGGACTTCAGTAACTGTTATATGTTAGTTGGAAATGAGAATTTTATGATGTTCATGCTTGAGAAATACTTAAGTGATACACAGCACTAAAAGCTAGGATTAACTGCCTAAAAAAAACCTTTTCCCCATAGCCATCGTGGCGTTAGACTTACTTTGACTAGCAATACTGTATACCTTTCCATAATGAAAATTCAATTAAAGGTGCTATTAGTGCAAACAACCTTCTTTTACTAGAGTACCTTGTACATAACATTGTCTCGCTCGCTATACTGTTTTATTATTTTTGTTACATATTTTGCTTTTACGTATTGCTATTCGTCTGAGTTTTTTGTTGTTGTTTGTTTGTTTTCACTTTGACGACCTGCACGTTCAATTTCGTCGCTTTGGTTGCTGCTACAAAAGTAGTACAAAGTGCACTTATTTTGAAAATAATTTTCGGATGTCATACACACCATTACACCACCGCCCTGACGGAGAGGCTCTGTGACATGATTCACTTCCTTATTACCTCACCAAATCGGACCAACCAGCGTGCAGAAACTCGTTTGCCTGCAGGAAATGAACCGCCTATTTCAACGTGTCAACAAGGACGTAAAGCAGTGCCTTACTGTCGTACAGCAATCAAAATGTATTTAGTTACGTGTAAATTAACCGGTTACAGTTTTGCTGGCCTTTGAATGTCCTCCTTTCCAACACAGAAGGCGTGGTTTTGATATACACTAATAGTAGCCACAGTAGGAAATATTATTGTGAGCACGCATCTGTGCTACACAGTACAGGATGGACTGTACCAGGACTGTTCTGGTGACTGGAGGCTCAGGGTTTATGTGAGTTTTCATACTTTCACTTAAAACAAGAAACACGGATAACATCGTATTTTAGTAACTCATATGAAGTACAACCTGCTTTACTGTTCACTTCTGGCTGTTTTGACGTCATTTACCATAAACGCTACTTTTGTGTTTGTACTTTAGACGTCCCCAAATTCATCTGCAAAACGTAGTAACATAAAGCCTTAAATACCTAAACCTGTGAATATATTTTCACGCCAAGACCTCCACCCTTCAGTTACAGACTTGTCGAACTGGAGAACATATGGACATGATGACAAACAAAAGACTTAAATCTCCGTCTTACTGGAGACAACCATGTTGGACCCATGAATGTACATTGTCTAGGTCAGGGGACACAAACGTGGTGCCTGGGGCCACATGGTAGCCCCCATGGACTACCTACGGTGCCCGCAGGCTATGTTCTTAAAATAAAACTAGTCAACAAGAGGGTCAAACATTGTACTGTTACTCTGGTTTTTGAATCAGTTCCACTTGCAGTGATATTCATATGGGCCCAATGACGATGGTAAGAAGAGTGTCTACTACTGCATGTCCCTGAACTAATTATTATTACATTGTTTGTGAAGTCTGTATCAAACAAGTAGCTCTCTGTATTACTGAGTGACCTTGAAGTAGCTCTCAGTTTAAAAAAGTTTGGTGGTGGTCTAGGTCAACATTTCTGTTTTTTAGGCACAGAACCTAATTGACAGTTAGTCTCACAGTGATTCTCTTCCTTTTTCCCCAGTGGCTCCCATCTTGTGTGTTCACTAGTGAAAAAATTCCCTGACTGGAGGATTATAAACCTAGATAATGTATGTCCTTATGGGTTTCCTCTTTTTTCACATAAAGAGTCATCACTGTCCTAGTCAACAAATAATTGCTTCTGATCTTTCCTTTCAGTTGGATTATTGCTGCAGCCCCAAGAGCCTGGAGAGCATTGAAGAGAGAGAAAACTACACCTTTGTCAAGGTGTGGCAGATCATCCAGTTAATGTATTTTTACAATAGTCAGCAGTGGGTGCACTAACCTCTGCTTTCTTCATCAGGGAGATGTCTGTGACACCTGGTTGGTTGGCCACATTTTTAGCAGTTATAATATTGATTTGATCTTCCACCTGGCAGCAAAAACACACGTTGGTAAGCAACAGTTTTTCAATCAGGTCAGGCCAAGACTTGGGCATTAAAAAGGTTTTTTCGTGTTTTTCTTTTTTGACAGAATCGTCATTTGAGTCTCCATCAATTTTCAAGTGGGTTAACATTGAGGGTACAGAAGTTTTACTGAGAGCTGCTCATCAGGCCCAATACCAGCTGCAGCGCTTTATTTATGTCAGCACCGATGAAGTATATGGGTCCAGTCTTCACAAGGTACATGTACTGTTGTGCCTGCTGTGTCGGATGAACTGATACAGTATATAGTGTTTGTGTGGCCGGCAATGACTTACAGTACCTGGACTTTTTGTGTAGGTGTTTGATGAGAGTAGCCCAGTGAGGCCTTCAAATCCATACTCTGCCACCAAAGCAGCAGCAGAGTTCCTGGTCAGATCCTATTGGGACAAATATAAGGTATGTCATACACCCATACACAGACAAGTATTTGGTTAAACTGACTGTGTGTGTTAAACATCCACCAACAGACTCTTGCTGGATAAAAAACGCCCCAATATACTGTGTAATGCAAATAAGAAAATTATTGTGGTGCCAAAACACAGTCATATCAGACACATATGCTATATATGTATAATACATATACATTGTACATATATATATATGTACAATGTTTAGTGCAGATATCTTTGCCAACATGGTTCTTCACTTCACCTGATTTTTAGGTTGATCAGTTGTTGCCTAAATTCACTTGTTTACCAGTTGACGGGCTGGTTGTTTTGCAATTAAAAAAATCTTAGGACTGGACCTTTAAAGGGAGTTTTTTTTTTTAGCTGTGTTTTTAATTATACCAAGAGTCTTTATGCCTGATGTTTGTTTCTTGTATTGTTCTGTACTGAACCAGTTTCCAATTCTGATAACGAGAAGTAACAACATCTACGGGCCCAGACAGTACACTGAGAAGGTAGTATTATACTGACAAATTAGGAGAGTAATCAATACATTTAAATGTATTTTTCAGTCTACATAAACTACTCATTTTACATTTTAGTCAATTGCAGTTTTCTGGGTTTCAGGTCATTCCCAGGTTCCTCACCCTCTTGCATATGAACAAGAAATGGTAAATATGTTTGGCTTTTTTTTGACAAACATTCTCTCTGTCAGTTTTCCAACCTTATTATGTGCGATGACACATATTTTGCACCAGAAATATCCCATTGCACCACCAAACAAAAATGTCAAATAAATATATGTAATGAAATATAATGATCTTAGTCTGTTTTGTTTTAGAGCCAAGTGCTGCCACCTAGTGGAATAGTGTTTAATTGTTCTCCATGATTATATTATTATACAGTAGTGTAGGTATTCAGGTTTTCCTAATTACACTCCTAAGTGCCAGATGTAATTTTGGATCTGTTTAACAGTGTGCATTGACAAAAGATCCTTCTCACTTATGCTGCAGCACCATCCAGGGAACTTGCCCTAAATCTCGACATTTCTTGTTCATTGATGACGCCATTGATGCTTTACTGCTGCTTATGGAGAAAGGAAATGATGGTGAAATCTACAATGTGGGAGCGAGCTGTGAAATCCCCATTATCCACCTTGCCAAGGAACTCATAATAATGGTGTGTTTACTTCACTCCTGTCATTAGTACAAAATAACATGTACCTTTCATATATTCAATCTAAATGTAATTGTTTTTGTAATTTCAGGTCAAGAAAGATCCAGAGGTGAATAATTGGCTGGAGTTTGTGCCTGACAGGTGGGTTTCCTTGAAGATAACATAATTACAGTTATTTTGGTTAATGGTAAAATCAAGATGAATTAACACAATGACTAATTGATTGGAGTGCATATTGCAATGCAACATAAGGAACAACATATGCGATACTTTCTACTACACCTACTGTTTAACGTTCTTTTAACATAACCGAAAGTATTACAATATTAACCTATCAAAATACAAATAAATCAAATCAGAAATGTAGTGCACTATCACACTCATTTGAAAACATAAAATACTAAATGGAAATTAAATACAATGTTAATGCATAATATATAAATACATAAGAACATAAATATATAGATACAAAAAGTAAATAAGCTGAAGAAAATAGCCCGCAGGTCTTTTTAGTGTAAAAATGAACTACTCCACTAAACTAAATTAATAACTACAGTGTGACGTCTGGATCAGATTTTAATTTTCTGTTACAGAAACCGTCAAAGTGAAAACAATGACAATAGAGAGACAGCAAATGGAAGAACACACACTGGCCTTATTATCATAATATAAAGTTTGTGCACCATGAGCGTTCTTCTAGCAACTAGTTAATAATATTAATAATAACCGAGTCCCTTATTTGTGGCACTATTAGAAATCAAATCGACTTAGAAGTTAGAATTAACCAGGCCTTATCTGTATGGGCTTTATCAATGAATGTATGTTCCACAGTAAGTCTTTGAATGGATTTTTCTTTGCATCCTAAGCATCTTGTCAGTAGAGTGAAGGGATCTGTTCAGATGACAGACTGGTCTGATAAGTCCACTAACTCACCCTTGTATGTAGCAGCTGTCTCTCCTAAATCATCCCAAAGATGCAACTCAGCCAATACAGGGAGCAGCCTCTGCTGTTGCTGCAACAGACCTAAATAAAACAAATAAATTAGAATAATAACAAGTAATGTATCAGTAGATAAAAGTGGAACTGATTTACCTGCTATTTGACAGGCCACAGGTTGACCTACGATACCCCATCACATGTGAAAAGCTGCAGCAGCTGGGCTGGAGAGCAAAGGTGCCCTGGGCTGAGGGCATCAGACAGACAGGTACACTACACACTTGTACTCACAACATACACAAACAAAAACCCTGTCCAAATAAAATCATGATCTCCTTTTTTTTTTTTTAAATCATTCCAGTGAAATGGTACCAAGACAACCCAGACTTCTGGTCAGACACAAGCAACACGGACATAACACATGGACAAATCAGAAGCAAACCTGAAAATTAAGTATTCTCCAGGGTGCCATCCTCTTCAGTGCTTTCCTTTTACTGTAAATGCTGTAGCTTTGTAGCTGATTTATAACTCAAAACCTGAATAGCTGCTCAGTAGTCCTTAAATGATCATCAGACCAAATAGACCTCTAGTGCCTTGAGATGAAGCTGCTTTACTTGAATATTCACTTGTGTGTTGAAGAATGTTTTTACAGATTCACTGGTTTATTTGTGCAATGCTTGGGATTTGAAACATGGAAAAAGGAAATGAAAATGTAAAACAGAACGTATGCAGAAATGTGAGAAAATGTAAATAAACAAAGGACCGTGGGACCAAAATATGCCAAAGGACTAATATTGATAATAGTTAACACAAGGTTCTATGGTCATAACAAACATATAATTGTTTGACTCATGTTATCCTTTACTTGTGTGACTGTAGAATCTTTTCTTTTTACCTTGCTGGAGACTGTTAACTCCAGAGGTCTATTTATTCACTGGTCACCTTCTGTCTGTAAATCCACTTACTGTATGTCTTTATTCATAATCATGTTCACTGAAATCAGTTTTAATCATCAGTCTTAGCCCTGCTTCCTTTGTCCTTTCTGAACACAGAAATGTCTACTGTACCATTTCTCTGTGTGATGTCTGTCAGCTGTCAGCCCTTACCAGTCAAAATTCAAAAACATATTTCTGTAATGCTTCAGAAAACAGGGAAGGTGCCCTCCCAGGAAAAAAAAAGTTTTTATGAGTGAATATGAGCAAAAATGTTCCTAAATCAATGTTAGTGACATAAAATAATGAATGCAATGGGATTAATCTGTTTTCTAAATATGTTAGGGTTAGCTACAGTGAGAAAGAAAAACATGACAAAATAGCAGGCCTCATCACAACAGTTAGACCAGATACATTGGAAAATGTTGATTTTCTACTTCAAACACAGATAGGTGATCTTCTCACTGTAAGGCTATTACGCCTCTTACACTTTGTACCATTTGCTTTAAATTTTTTCAATTATTTATGTAATCGTTCACTTGAGAGTTTATTTTTCTGAGGTCTCGACACTTTCAGTAATTACAATGCACGTGCCAGAAATCATTGTATTTAAATCTTATTAGAGATTTCGGTTGTTTTACTTGTTGTCCAGTTGTATGAAAAGGGAAACCAACCAATATTTTTAACATCTGTTATTATGTGAACCATGGTACAGAAGAGTGCAGTGCATTCACTGGTTAAAAAATAAATTAGGCACCTTATCTCATCATTACAACGTCATGATGGTAACGACTAAGTGTGCACAGCAGAAAATGAGGCAGGTAAAGCTGCATCAGATATGTTTAACTTGAATTAAAAACTTAACTTTTGAGTTGAAACACATGTTGGTCATTTCAATAAACTAAGTTAAAAAAGGCATGGAAATAGTTCTTTTTCTATCGCAAAAATATCAAACCATGAATTTTGTGTACCACTGCACCCTTAATATATATATAAATATGTATATTTATATATATACATATAAATATATATATACACACACATGTTTATACAAATATATGTACATATAAACACGCGCGCACACATATATATTTACAGTTCTAAATCCGTCAGCTAAAACATTTTCGATTGCAACAGAGAACAAAAACAAAACTCTTAAGCCAACTAAGCAAAACTGTAATCATTTGAAAGGTTTAGGTATAGACAATGCTTTATTAAATATGACATGAACTCACTAAAGGAGTGAGGGGTTTACAAATGGCCAGATGTCAAAAGGAAAATGCTAGTTTGTCAACTTGAATGATGAACTTGTGAATTCCTGTTTTCAACACAAAAATAAACTGGAATAACGTATTTTATAGACGACCCCTAAAGAGAAAAACAAATTTGAATTTAGTTGTTTGAATTGTGCTTCTTTGAAGAAGGTACTGGCAAGAAAAGTGTTCAGTGTTTGCCACAACAACAGGAAGTGGTCGATCTCAGCAGCAGCTACAAAGAGGTTATACTTTCTACATTCCAAATTGCTGTAGCAAATTTCCAATGTGAAAACTAGGGCCAATATTTGTGCCATCATATCACAGGAACATTAAAACACTTTACTGTATAATTGTTTGCTGAAATCTTGTACGTAAATGTGAATTTAAGTTATGAATTGGTTTACCACAGTGAGTCAGGAAGAACAGGTCTGAAATCTCAACTCTACCTTTGTTATTAAGTTACAGTTCCTGCTGCTGCAGTTCCTTCCATCACTGGCAACAACATGAGCAGAGTTTTGAAAAGCCTGGCCTAAACCACAGCTAAAGGTTGACAGAAATCAAAAGAGAAGGAATTTTCCATGAGCAAATGTTATGGTAAGTTACAGCCTAATACTAGTATAACTATTAACACAGTGGTTAAACTTGAATCATTTGAACTGGGTGTCACTGTTTTTAAGGAACTCAGTAGGACATATATGACCTATCCTTTTAAAGGTGAACTTTCTTGTAGGAATAAATATGCTCACCAGTGACGTTTGACCAGTCTGACCTGAACCAGATTGAAGGTTCTTTTCACCGTTTTTTCTCAAATGTAGATAAAGTCTAAGGTGAGTTTTTTCTTCTTTCTGACATAAAAAATACAAATAAAAGATAAACAGAAAAATGCGACTAAAACAAAAAATGTTAAACTTGTTCCAACAGAGAATGACATCTGTGGTTCTGACAGGCCTCAATGGTCCAATTCTGTTTGCTGGCATTAAGGACTGACACCTAGTTTTCCACCTGATCTTCCTCAAACCCAGTTAATCCATCAGTAAACAAACATTAAATGGTGCTGTTATTGTTTACGCTCTTTGGAGAAATGTGTTGAATCGATTAAACTTAGGACGCAGACAAATTTCACTTAGTACATGGCCGCTGATTTACTGTACATGACCATTTGTTTCATACAAATATGACATTAAATATTACATGTGAAGGTTCACAGGTAGCTGGCTTTGAGAAATCACAAAAAGCCACATTAACACCAAAACTAAAATATTATCTCCACATGTACACTGTAAACAACATGTGTGTAACTACGTTAGGAATTTAAAGAACTACCAGAACTTGAATTCAAGTGGTCATTTTTCTTCAGGCCAGACATGACTCAGAACACAAAAGCAAACCAAACTGCACCTGGAATAAAACCCTGTGCCATGCATTAAGAAAAATGCTTCAAAACAGTGTCCACCTTTCAGAGGGAAAATTCTTCCATCAGTGAATAATAAAAGAAAAGTACAATTTTTAATAAAGGTGAAGTTAAAAATAGTCTCAGAAATCTTAGATTTCTTGATATATGTTAGCACATAGGTATTAATAGATTATTAGTTCAATAACATGCATGTGGAACTGTCAGGAATATGTAGAAGTGTGAACTAGGAATGGGCATGACCTTCAAAAACCTGATGAAACACAACAAATCAACACAATTTTACAAAGATTTTCCTAATTGATGGTAAATTTTGTTTTAAGATGTTGTTCCTTTTCCAGTTTAACCACAACTGTCCTTCTTAGTCTGTCATGGGGGGCGGGGCGGGGTGGGGAGGGTGGGTACTTGTACACCAAGAGGTCTTGCTTGCTGTGTGAGTTCCTATTGGCTCTACAGATGTGACATAGCACAGTGCAGTGTGACTGGCAGCCACTGAGAGGCAGAGGAGACTATTGAACACCTTCGGAGTATTCACAGAATATCATGAGAACAAAATCCTAACACTAAAATAAGTAGAGACAAAGGATGAAGATGAGACACTGATAGACGAGCAAAGAAAAAAAATGGAAAAAATGAAAACTTTTTCAACAACCAGTGAATTAAAAAATAAAACTCACTCAACGTAGCTAGGACCATAACCAGGGCCAACCCCTGCACGCTGGCTGCTCCTCATGCTCAGTTATAATTCTGGTTCAACACCCAGGCAAAACTGCAAGAATGACTTTCAGGAAAAGGTTACTGTGAACCGTTAAAAATTGTTACTTCTGGTTTTTTAATATCAGCCAGCAACACCAACGCAGAAGGAATGTTCAGTCACACAGAGGATGAAATTCAGCTCTCAGCTGCAACGGTCTGATCTGAGCTTCAGGTCAGACTCAACTCTCAGTCGTCATGCTCTCAGTTCAAGTCATTCATTAAAGGAGCAAAGAAAAACACTATCTATAAATGGAAAGGTAGGTAAGATGAGGTCTATTAATTAGTCTTAATATACCCAAATAAATGTCTTTGTCAGGCCACGGTATGATGTATTCAAGTTATGCAACTTTTATTTTGGCTACCTTTAGCCAAGGAGCAGAAAAAGCAAGCACAAGCAAAGCACACAGCAGAATCTCAGCAATCAGGCTAGCTGCTTCCTCTCATTTGTATACGTCACCTGTCTAATGTATGCAGGGTCATGTGCAAAGGTCACTGCAAAAAAGGCAATTGTCCTCATGGGTCATCTATGT